GATAAAAGGAACTTCTCTATCAAGCAATTATTGACAAATACCATCCAAGAGACAAAATTTAGAAAGGAAACTTTCATTTGAGCAATATTCCTAATTGAAAAATAGATAAACAGTGTGGAGAGAAGTAATAGTATAATAAATACTAATCAATAATGCGATAGAATTTCTTGAAAATAAAGATACTTCGGCCAGTAAATCTTTTCATTACCTCGACGTTTCGACAGAAATCTTCAGGAGCAAATAAAAAGATTTACAATTATCCATAGCCGGGATATCGCGTTTTGTGTGTTAAAATAAAATAATAAAATATAGTATTTCATAAGACATATTCACAAGTATATATGGAAATGCGTAAACGATTATCTGTTAAAAATATATATTAAAATTTTTCTATAGACATTATTTTTTTTTAAATCCAAATTATCCTCCGAAAAAAATCGTTATTTTCAAGAAATATGGACGCAGTCCAGGCAGCCTCTATCTTTGCAATAGACTTTATTCAAAAACTGTATATTGATGTTATACATGATAGAAAGCTGGAATAAAATATAATATTAGGATCATATACAGTAAATATTGACAGGTTATTCGTAACGGGTTTTTAATCATTAGAATTTATAAATATCATGTTAATTCGACTTCGCTTCGATGTGAATTAACGTTTTCATTCTAAATAATATTAGTTCTCAAGCAAGTTTATCAAAACCATTTAGTATAAGTTAAAAAAATGTAAATCGACGCAATTATCCCTAGCCGGGATATCGCGTTTTGTGTGTGTGTGTGTGTGTTGAAATAAAAATAATAAAATATAGTATATCATAAGACATATATACAAGTATATATGAAAATTCGTTTAGATTCTGTTAAAAATAAATCTTATAAACTATTTCTATAAACTTTATATTTTTAAAATCCAATTTATCCTCTGAAAAAAGTATTAATTATGGAGAGATTACTTTGTTTAGAATAACTTCCCAGAATCTATATATTCTCCTAATTAAAGATATATTCATTTTCGAACGATGTTTGCATAATACAAAATTATTTTAGGTGATTTTTCAAATATAGAATTAAAGGGAAATAAAAGTCGATTCTTAAATTTTATTATGGTCGGTATTTATCTATCATAGATATAGCCAATACAAATATATATTATATATGTATAAAAGTGGAATTCATTCGAAATATTTCAAATGATTTTAACAACGCAAGCTTTCGATCTTTTTTTCGAATTTTTATAATACTCAATTTGTTACAAACCACGGAAATTTCAAAAGTTTTTAAAATAGAATAAAGGCAGTGAAGGATTCAAGTTGCTTTTGTGGTATTAATAAACAAACCTCAAGATATCTACTGATCGATTGCCAAGCATTTCAAGATTATAGAATGAAGAATGAACTAGTTGTTTGTGAACTTAACGATTTGAATTCCGATAAAAATCATATTTAAAGATCAATTCATTTTGTAAATACATTCTAAACTTTCTACAAAATCTGGATCTCTAATGTATTCATGCGTTGAATAATGTAAATAACTTATGTAAATAAACTTTTCTCCTTGTTTGGCGCAAGTATCCCTTGCGGGATATAGCGCTTTGGAAATAAAATAATTGTATAATTGTATAATCTTTCGCTATTCACCGCGAAAATAACCTGTAGTAATCCATTATTGTGATAACCTGTAGAAATCCATTATTAAAACGGTAGTAATCTAGCATTAATAACCTATAATAATCCATTATTAATAAAATCTATGAGGAAAACATAGGGAGAATTCTTGTGATTTTAAAAAAATCGATTTTTAATTTCTCAACCTCAATATTTCCACAAGTCTACCGCCCTTTTTTAATTAGGTTTTGCCCTGTGACATGGGTGATATAACCGATGAAATATTGGACCTGATGAAACATTTTTTTAATGGACGTGCTGATTTGGGTCTTAATATGTCTTGATTGAAATATAATATGCAAATCTATGTGAACATTTTATTTACATATATTCAGTATGGTTCCCAGTAAAGATAATTTATTTTAAAATATATCAATATTTACGGGACAAATCAATTGATAATTCCAAGGATTATAAAGATCCAAAAGATTTCAATTTGCATGAATAAAGTATTGCAACTGTTTTATATTATTATTTTATATAATTAAATATTATTTTTTAAAGAGATTATTTAAAAAATATCAAGATTGAAGAAATTTGAATCCAAAAGAAGTTGAACACACACATCATTTTTTTAGATAATAATAAACAATAAAACAGTAGGGATTTATTTTTATTGATTATTTTCTCATTTTTTGTCTATATGAGCGATTTAGCTTAACAACAAACTACTTTACATATAATAGTTTAATAAAAAATGATGATTATCATATATGGATGATATTATATTATCATTAGTATAAATATATCCATTTTCAAATATTTTTCCCGGTTTTTAGTTTCACCATTTTGAATATCCCAAAATAAACTTTCTGATTCAATCTCTATTCAATAAATTATCTTTATTTTATATTATTTATTTATAATATTTTTTTATTTTGCATATTTCAAAAATTAAACTGTTTACTACCGCTCTAACTGCATTGATAAATTGATGGAAGAGCCTGGCTCATCAGTAGTGAACCCTCCCAGTGGTTTACAAGTTTATTTTACTATACTGCTGTAATATATCAAATTGATATTTCCCTAATCATAATGAACTGAGCTATATAAGAATCAATCAATTAACCAACTGGGATTTAGTTCACGTAGAGTTTTCTATAGTTGTTCAAATGCAGGTATTTCTTTTTTTAGAATTAAAATCCTCTGTATCAATTAGATTAATCAAATACAAATCTCCGAGGATAAGTTTGTTTATTACACTATTAACGAATTTACAAGCTTTCGGGTTTTAAACGCCCCTTCCGTAGGTAAAAAGTTTTAGGAAAGGACTGGAACATTTTTGTCGTAAATTTATATGATAAATATATACGTTCCATTTAAAATCTTTTAATTTCCTATGTGTCATATTTAAATATATATTTAACCAATAATCACTCATGGTCAAAACTTAAAGAAGCTGTACCCTTTAGCATGTATATCGGAATTCAGACAATAATTCTGAAAGATATTACAGTGACCTTTATTGAAGACACACGAGATAACTAAATGTGAACAAAGTTTTACCTCTGTCGTCTTAAAAAAAAAACTTTCCTCTTACTTAAGTTTTATCCATATGAGTGTATATACATTTTTAGATCAATATTTTACCATTAAAAACCCATATATACATATGAAAATTATATTAAAAAGTTAAAATACGAATATCAAATCTCAAATATCATATAGAAATCGAATATTAGAAGCCTAATGGATTGCCGAATAAATGAGAATGTAAAGAGAAAAGTGAATTTTCAACTTTCATCAATAGAATCAACTCTAAGGAATTGAAGGGAAATTTCTTACCCAATCTTATAAAATAGGGTAAATCTTTCGCTTTTAAAAATCCCCATCAATTTGCCGAAAAATGTTGCTACTCTTACCATTAAAAAATAATGCTAAATGAACGAAAAATACTCTTTCCATTTTATATCAAATACATTTAAAAGATGTTTCTTAAAAAGAAGTGGGCAAATCTCTAAGGGTGAATATTGTATGTGAAATAAATCTAACGGTAATAGTCTGTTAAAATTTCCTTTTCTATCCAATTTCCACTTCTTTTTTTATTTGATAACCTCTGTGAGAAAAACGGAAATTCAATTTTAACTATTTTGACCATGTACACTAAAAAGCTCAATCGAATATGACTCTATTTCGAATAAAAGTAAAAATTCGTATTTGGTAAAAAAAAAGAGGATATTTAAAAAAAACGATTTTATTCGTTATTTCAAATAAATATATATTTCAGATATCCAATTAAATTTATTCATATATTTATTTTTAAAAAATGTAAATACACAAAAGGTAATAAATATATATTGGAAATTTTACATTTCAATTGATATTCTATAATTTAAAAATGAGAATATTTCTCACAATGGTATTTTATATATTTATATAGGACTATAAAGATTAAAGAACAATATTTTTAGAGAATTTACTGAGAGTCATTAGTTAATTTCTAACACACACAAAAGCCTTTATTAAGACACACTGGTCTTATAGAGGATTCTTCCCGAGATTACAAGAGAGATAGGCCTGTGGGGGAATATACAGAAGAAGAAAAAGAAAGATTATGTAAATATGATATATACATGTTCATTTTTAACATAAACTTTCTTAATATTTGAAATTAAAAATTTGCAATGTAACCTCGTTAGAGCGAACCCAATGGAACTTTACACATTATGTGTGTTATAATCATATCAAACAAATGATACAGCTTTATGGATGTATATAAGTTTCTTTTATCTTTATTAAACATATTCTCAAGCTTTCGGGGATCTTTGTCCTTATACAGAAGCACATAAAACATATGTAGCGATTAACAAAATGAAAGAAAACAAGTTTCTCTAATTATTTCGACGACGCAAGCTTTCGTGAAAAAGCCCTTCAACAGGCAAGATAAAAACGACACTATAGTATCGTTTTTATCTTGCCTGTTGAAGGCCTTTTGCCCGAAAGCTTGCGTCGTCGAAATAATTAAAGAAACTTGTCTTCTTTCATTTTATTAATCGCTACATATTATGCTAAGAAGAATCTTCTATATCTAACATAAAAACATATTTACAGCTGTAGAAGGACAGATATTCCCAAAAGCTTGAGATTACGTTTAATAAAGTTAAAATAAAATTATATCTCCTGAAACCAATAAAATATAATTTGTTTGATTAATATCCAGAAGATTCAAATTAATTGTTATTATAATCATAGTTAACTATAAAACGACATGTGTTTCTCTCTTAAACGAAACATCAAAATTTATTTTAAGTAGAAATAACGATTATTTCTAACCTTAGGGATTAGGTATGAAAGGTTGAATTGTGAAGAGTAATGATAAACGGAAAATAAAAGTGTCCAGGTATGGTAATCGAACCCACAGTGTTCCGCTTACTGGGCAGATGCCATGTCCACTAGGCTACCCTGGACATATTATTCCGCTCGTATATAATACATAAAGTAATTTATAATATAATACAATTACAAGCCGCATTATATTATATTGTATTGTTAACTATGATATATATATTTTTTGACGGGAGAGGCGACCCTTGTCTCTTTAGATCAATTTCCTCCCGGCAAAATTTCAATCTATATTTTAGCCATAGATTTGGCCCAGCCACTTTGCCAGCTAAACACCTCTTCGGCAGATTGTCAAGATTCCATTAGATCCCGTGTGGATCTCATGGAATAAAGTCCGCCCTAGACTGACGAGGGCCATTAGCCCGAAACCATGGTCTCTAGGTAGACGCTTTTCAGTGTGCCAAAGCTGGTGTTGTGGCTTTGTCACCGACCCGAGGCCGCTAGTTGCGGCGACGGTCAATAGATGGCGTCTGGTTTTAGACGTCTATTTTGACGGGAGAGGCGACCCTTGTCTCTTTAGATAGTAAACTATATATCAAGAGAGCTTACTATATATTGATAATTTTCAGGAATGATTCTGATTTGTTAGAAAGGAAGGTGTTTGTTATATACCCGGTTCATTTCACAGTGATTGCTTGCTCTACACTAATGGACAAAACATAATGAAGTTTCATATTTTGTTTCGTCGATCGTCTGTTTATATATATTGATGGAGGCAAAATCAATTATAATATATAATATTTTAAACCTTTATAATTTAAGTACCAACCATATTTGAATTTACATTGATAAATATTATATATCAAAATTAAAAACTATTATAGACGCGTTATAATAAAATTATATATTAATTTATAATGTCTTTTAATTCAAATATCAAGTAATTTTTTACAAATATCTACTGATTTTTAAATTTAAAAATGCTGATAGTTAGGGCCAACTGTCGAAAAAAATATCAAAAAATTGTTGCTATTTTCAAAAAATCCTGACAGATGGCACAAACCATCAGTAAATTTCAGTTTTACAATAAGAAATATGCATCATTCATAATTTATCTACGTGATCCCAGTTTGATAACAATAGTTAAAGGGAAAGGTGCCTCTTTCGGTACATGGATAAAAATAGTTGTGCGTGTGTGTATTATATTTCATAAGTTTAATAATATGGCGTTTGTAATTTCGTATATCAATAAGAAATACCTCTTACATATAAAAAAATAATTATAATATGATGCACTATGGCGCCATCTTTTATCAAAATTTGAAACTATTTTAAACGCGTAAGATTCTTTTTGAAATTAAACAATTTCTACTGCCCTTACTACAATGGAAAAATTAATGAGAGGGCCTGGCTCATCAGTGGTGAACCTTCCCAAAGTTTCGCCAGTTTAATCTACTATACCGCTGTTATATTGCATATAAGCTTATGTCCATAGTTCATCTAAAATACCCATTCCAAGAGTCTATCAACAGTATCACTATAAAAGGAAGTTCCAAAAAATGTAATATAACAGCGGTATGGTAGATAAACTGGCGAAACCGCTGAGAGGGTTCACCACTGATGATCCAGGCCCTCTCACTAATTTTTCTATTGCAGTAAGGGCAGTGGAAATTGTTTAATATCAAAAGGAATCTTACGCGTTTAAAATAGTTTCGATTTTTGATAATAAATAGTCTATTATCATATATAGTAAAACATATGGTTTGTATATGACAAGGATTATACAATTTGATACAGTAGATGCAATATCTCTGCTAGTGATTATCTCCCTACATGTATTTACATGTGTAATTATAAACCCATACCTCGCTTTGCGTCGGTTACGTTCCAAAAAAACACGACGCAAATTGAAACGACGCAAAGTGAAAATATGTGAAGGCGCAATCAAAAACAAAGGTGTTGCTATATTTTAGAGAAAAAATAATAATAAAAAAAATTAATGACTCGAATACAAAACAACGCAACTTCGAAAATCTAACGACACACTGTGAAAATCAGTAAAAATTAAGCAGCGACCTAACTTCGAAAAAACGCAAAACGACGCAAAGAGAGGTATTGGTGTATTAATAATAAATATTCAATTTCTCTCCCATCCACCTTTTGTGGAATTTAAAGTTTTCATAAATGCCATGTTTATCTTTATTCTGTACATATAGGACATATAGGGTGTTTATGCTTTTACCATTCAGTCCTTCAGTCCAATTCTTCCTTCCGTTTTATTTCCATTCATTAGTTAACCTGCCAAACTTTCTTCATCAATCTATTCCCTTAATATATAACCCAACTAATTCTTTCTGTCTTCTACTGATCATTCCTATAGCCCTTTTATTTTCTAAAAATACTCATTTATTTATATCATTTATAACAATAACAAAAATATTTATTATGACTTTATAGTCTTATACAGATTATCCGAACACAGAAATGTAAGGTACATATATGAATAACAGTAATAGTACGAGTAATCAGCAATGTTATTTATAATGTATCAAATAGAGGGGAATATAAATGAAGGGCTTAGCATAAACTTATATATTCCCATCCCTGGACACTTTTATTTTTCCGTTCATCATTACTCTTCATACAAAGCAATAACGCGCCATCTATACCTATAAAATGAAAGGATTTAAAAGCACGAATGTTTCTTATATACATAATACAAACTTCTACGTTCTTAACACAAAGCAATAACGCGCCATCTATACATATAAAATAAAAGGACTTAAAAGCGCGAATGTTTCTTTTATACATAAAACGAACTTCTACTGTCCTTACTGCGATGAAAAAATATATTGGGAGGACTTGGCTCATCAGTGGTGAACCCTCCCAGCCGTTTCGCCAATTTAATCCACCAGACCGCTTCTCAAAGCTCTAATACTGTATTGGACGATTCTGCTTATATACGCAGCACTGAAGGATGGAATCTCAGAAATGGTTTTCAAGAACACTATGGACATAAGCTTATAGGATAGTAGAATTACATTCAATATATTTTTTCATCGCAGAAAGCACAGTAGAAGTTTGTATTATGTATAGAAGAAACATTCGTGCTTTTAAATCCTTTCATTACCCTTCATAATTCACCCTTTCATACCTCATCCAAAAAGGTTAGAAATAGTCAATATTTCACCTTGAAATAAATTTTGATTTTCGTTGAAAAGAAACTCATGCGGTGTAACTTCAAGTGTGTCGTTTTATAAACTTATATACAAGTGTATAAGCAGTCGAGATTAAGCTGTTCTTTTTCTTTAAGAAGAATAATTGTAGAAATATATATACATAAATTGGAAACTATTATAGTTGCGTATTGTTCTTTTTGAACATTAAACAATTTCCATTGCCCTTACTGCGATAGAAAAATTAAATGGAAGGGCAGTGGAAATTGTTTAATTATCAAAAATAATCTTTTTTTTTTTTATTATATATTTAAATGGAGAGATGGATAAAGAGTAGAAGGTTTATAAAGTCATAATATTGACTCATTCCATTATAAATATTATAATTTATATAGAAACATTCATTTATTGTTCTAAAATGTAAATTTGAATAACTTTCACTCTCTCTCTCTAAAACTATAAATAATTTATATATATATATTTAAAAACTATGTACATAAAATAGATTAAACATTTATATGCAAATATCTACATAGGATATAGCGTATGTTTTGTAATAAAAAAAATCATACGCGTCTATAATAGTTTCCAATTTTCATAACATTTGACGTGTTAATGCATCATAATATACATTAATATCTGACATTTTTATAGTTTTATATATTTACATGGAAAGATGGATAAAGAGTAGAAGGTTTATAAAGTCGTAATATTGACTTATTCCATTATAAATATTATAATTTATATAGAAACATTCATTTACTGTTATTATTGCGTTTTGAATATATAATCATAATATTATAAAAAATGATTAGAGTGGGATTGTGGCGATACCGCTGGTAGAGCTCTTGAAAATTCTAATAAATGCATATATATATATATGAAAAAACAATAGAAAAAAATAAAAGATAAGTGGGTCAGGTGTTGATATTAAAAATAAAGAAGGCATCTCCTGACCACGAGCACATGTGCTTTTTAGATGGCAGAGCGCCATCTAGTGGAGCAAAAATAAACTAAACGTTTATTTAGCTTGCTCCGTGATATTTGGCCAACCCAATTTCTTTATTTATCAAGAAATTGGGTTGGCCAAATATATAAAAATAGTATAATTTTCAATTATACTATTTTTATACACACACACAAAAGCTTTTATTAGGGACTTGCTCCATACAGATTCTTCCAATTGGGTAAGGTAATAATCATCTTGTGTTATTTACATAGAAATTGAACTGGCTTTACTCTTCGTCTCAAAGTCATTCATTTGTTTACTGGTCCTTACATAACGATGATCTAAAAAATATTATAGTAAGATATCGCCTTATATTTGTTTGCTGATATTTTTTAAAGCAATACGTAAGGTGAAATGTTGGTACATTTAATTTCTTGATATTCGGGCATTCCTCTCTGCATCAAGGGCTGTACAATTGAGCATGTAATGGGGGAGTTGTTCAGTAATTTCCTTGTAACACAGTGAACATATTAGGTTATACTATTTTTATATTAATTTATTTCTGACTAGCGTGTAAATTGTGGGTGACTTAATAAACCTGGCAATTGCTTGGTTCTCTGTTAGTTAATAATTACATTGAGTCAGTAAAGTAAGGTTAAAATTAGCATATTCATTGTTAGTTCATTGTTTAACTTTCTGGAATTTAATTTAAACATTACATTGTATTCCTCTAGCTTATTTTAATTTGATCTTTTATATTTTGGTATAATAACATTCAAGTTGAGATTTATATAGGAGAAATTAGCATATTGTATAAATATATAATTTATCGAATCAATCTCAAAATATGATAAAGTATTGTATTGAGAAATAATATAGCATATCATAATCAATTTCAGCTTATGTCATATCGATTTCTTTTCCTGTTGCAATATTTTAAAATATTTTGACATATACATATTATATATTACCATAAGCCGCATTTTATTGTATTATATTGT